CTGGGATGCGGTGCAGTCCAGCCCTGGTTCCCAGCAAGACTCATCCATGCTTGCTCAGGGAACCATTTCCCCCCCCCCTACAAATTCTGTAACAGAACAATGTATTTGCTTTGTAGGATTTGCTAGAGCTTCTCATTTAGAAGGGCAGAACTTGGCAGAAGACCAAAGGGTTCCTTCCGATCTCTCAGAGGCTTCCTGAGAGCACAGATGGATGAGCAAGACTCAGCTGGCCCTGAAGCAGGAAGAGGCCATGCCAGCCAAACTGGGAGCAGTGGGGGATTCTGGGAAAACCCAGTGCAGAAGATCCTGGGTGAGGAGGACACCCTCCGCTCAGAGGTGCAGAGCCAGCAGTTGAGGCAGTTCTGCTGCCAGGAGGCCAAAGGACCCCGAGAGGTTTGCAGCCGACTCTACCACCTTGACCATCAGTGGCTGAAGCCAGAAAGGCACACGAAAGCTGAGATGCTGGACCTGGTGATCTTGGAGCAGTTCCTGGCTGTCCTTCCCCTGGAGATGGAGAGCTGGGTGAGGGAATGCGGAGCGGAGACCAGTTCCCAGGCGGTGGCCCTGGCCGAAGGTTTCCTCCTGAGTCAGGCAGAGGAGAGAAAGCAGGTGAGAGAGACTTTCCTCTGGATACTCCCAAGGGGCTCCAAACAGGACAGAGAACATCCCATAATGGTCTGCTGATGGCCCATCCGTTTTCTGGGAAAGCATCCATGGAATGAGATCTCACACCCTTCAAGTCTTTGTCATTCTCTTTCTAATATTTCTCACCATTCTCTGTTTTGAATCCTTGTTTCTTTTTCAGGGAAAGGATCTCTTTGCAGAAATGGACCTGGATTCCTGTGAGGCAGAGAGGCCTCCGTTGGACACCAGAGAAAGGCCACTGGGTAAGAAGGAAGGTGGGTTTTCTCCATTTGGTCTCATTCTGTTGGTTTTCCAACTCATCTGAGGTTCTTTTCATCTTGTTTTGGGGGGCAGACAGTTGGGAACAAGGGGTCCAGAGGAGGGGAGATGTATTTCTGCACAACAAAACATATGAAATGGGCACAAACGTCCAAATGCTCTCAGCAGGTAAGGATTTCTCAAAGCCCATCTACAGTTAGAGATGCCCTGTTTCACCTGTGAGAGAAGCAGACACTCCTGGCGTCCTGTTTACCTTTTTTCTCTTGCAGGTGGCAGAAGGATTGCCGGCAAGACTTCCTGATCAGTCTTTTCATGGGGACAGAAGGGAAGCAGCAACTGTGGAACCAGATCAGGTAAGGGGAAGCTGCCTTGTGGGGGACAGAGGGCCGAGGATGGAGCAATGTCATGGACTAGTTGGGCACAGAGGAATGGTGGGAGGAAGCAGCTGGGGAACCAGGAAGGGAAGACGGCTCAGAGCCCAAGGAGTGGAAGTGGAGGAAGGACGGGTGGTCAGAGGGGGGAAAGGGAGAAGGCTGGGAAAGAGGAGGTGTCAGAACCTGAAAGGCTATCAGGGCTTGGTGAGCTGGAACACTCTGTGCCATAATGCAGTGCAGAATCAGAGGCAGAAGAGGAAGGAGGCACGTGGGAGAGGAAGGTCGGGAGGCAGAGGTGCGTGAGGAGGAGGAGCCACATGTGGCTCCCTCTCCTTTTGCCAGAAGCCCCCCTCCCTGCTTGTCTCTCAGAGCCAGGATACCCCGTTTATTGCAGAAATCTCTGCTAGATCATCCAAGACAGATGGCCATCCAAAACAGGCTTATTATATTTCTAGATTGATCACTGAATGCTAAAATCGGTTTCTAAGCAGTGGACAAATGAGAAAAATAGTGGCCTGGATTCACCTAACCAGCCCCATCGGCTACAAAATGGGGCCTGCCCCCCATTGCTCCCCCCTCAATGCCCCCATGAACCCCTTGAATTTGGCTCTAGGGCATTGGGTGGGAACTCCCCAGAACAGCTCAGGAGGAGAGGGAAAAGTCAATCCTTCCATTGGGGAAACTGGAATGCTTGCGTAGGCAGAGTGACTTGAAAAACAGAATGTGGAGTACCACCTATTGCTGAAAGACAAATACCCATTATTAAAACTTAAAATCAGCATCCATATTTAAAATGTGCAGCAAAGCAATCCTATTGAAACAACATCGCAATGTACAGGAATGAAACAACAGAGAATTGTGTAGCAGATCATATTTCTGCTGTCTCAGAGGGGGCATTTCCCTTTTTCTTTTAGGGTCCAGTGTTCTTTGAAGATGTCGCTGTTCATTTCACGGACGAGGAGTGGGCGTTGCTGGATCCTGACCAGAGAGCTCTGCATAAGGACGTCATGGAGGAGAATCGTGGGATCGTGGCCTCTCTTGGTAAGGCTCCCTGTGGGATCGTCATATCTGCCTGGAAATTCAAAAAATACCTCTATGGGACCAATCTCATCTATTTTTACAGAGCTCAACAGCGCCCCGTATAACACCTGGGAACCTAACACCCCCACCCCCAGTTTTTCCTTTGAACAACCTTCCTGAAATTACCGTATTTTCGCTCTATAACACGCACCAGACCATAACACGCACGTAGTTTTTAGAGGAGGAAAACAAGAAAAAAATATTCTAAATGAAACAGTGGATGTATGATTTTTGTGGTTCATGCTGTGGCCACAGACATGTGATCTGACGGTGAGTTTGGGGTAGCCCAATGCAAAAATCCTGAGGATCCATGTGGATCCATGCTAAAGTCACCCTAAAGTCGCAGGGGCACTGGGGGAGTGAACAGGAAGCAAGAGAAGGAGAACAATGCCTCTCTCTCTCACACACATACACACACACAGAGAGAGAGAGAGTATCAATCCTAAAGTTGCAAGGGCGCTGGAAGTCGCAGGGGCGCTGGGGGAGTGAACGGGAAGCAAGAGAAAGTGAACAATCCCTCTCACACACACAGACACACAGAATATCAATCCTAAAGTCACAGGGGTGCTGGAAGTCGCAGGGGCGCTGGGGAGTGAACGGGAAGCAAGAGAAGGAGAACAATGCCACACACACACACAGAGAGAGAGAGAGAGAATCAATCCTAAAGTTGCAGGGGCGCTGGAAGTCGCAGGGGCGCTGGGGAGTGAACGGGAAGCAAGAGAAAGTGAACAATCCCTCTCTCACACACAGACACACAGAATATCAATCCTAAAGTTGCAGGGGCGCTGGAAGTCGCAGGGGCGCTGGGGGAGTGAACGGGAAGCAAGAGAAAGTGAACAATCCCTCTCTCTCACACACACACCAGAGAGAGCAGAGAAATCAATCCTAAAGTTGCAGGGGCGCTGGAAGTCGCAGGGGCGCTGGGGGAGTGAACGGGAAGCAAGAGAAAGTGAACAATCCCTCTCTCACACACAGACACACAGAATATCAATCCTAAAGTCACAGGGGTGCTGGAACTCGCAGGGGCGCTGGGGGAGTGAACAGGAAGCAAGAGAAGGAGAACAATGCCACACACCACACACATCACACAGAGAGAGAGAGAGAGAGAGAGAGAGAATCAATCCTAAAGTCGCAGGAGAGCGCAGGGGCGCTGGGAGTGGGAAGCAAGAGAAGGAGAAGGATCACACACACACACACACACACACACACACAGTATCAATCCTAAAGTCGCAGGAGAGCGCAGGGGCACTGGGAGAGTGAACGGGAAGCAGGAGGAGGAGAAGGATAGCTCAAGCACACACACACACAGCCCCTACAGTGGCTAATCCAAAATCGGACAGCAAAAAACTGCAGGCAGGGATAGAGAGCAAACCCCGCTCTGCTTCTCTCCCTCCTCCCTGGCTCAGCTGGCTGAAAAGCTTTGCTGCTACTTAGCAGCTCAGTGGGTAGGAGAGAGGGACATAGAACACGGGTTGTTTTAAAGCAGCCAACCAGACAGGAGCTGCTTACACTCGTGTAAGCAGCTCCTCTCCTCTCCCGCTCTGCTTCTCTCCCTCCTCCCCGGCTCGGCTCGCTGACAGGAGCCGCTTACACCCGCTTTGCTGTTTCAAAGCGAACCACGGACTGCTCACAACTGCAGCAGATTCCCCTGCCATCCGTAGGCATTCGCTCCATAACACGCACAGACATTTCCCCTTACTTTCTAGGAGGAAAAAACTGCGTGTTATGGAGCGAAAATTACGGTATTCCTTTTTCTACCAGGATTGGGCTGGTCTGAACTTCCCAGGCCATCTTCAATGTCAGCTTCAGAATTGTTAGGAAAGCTAAGTAGCTTCAGGTTTTTGTTTTTGCTCCTGTCAGTCTTGGGTTGACCAAAGAGACGACTGGCAGCGAAGCTCAGGTGCTGCCAGCCAGAGAAGAAGCAGGCCTAGGGAAAGGAGAGTTAGCAGCGGAAGGCAGAGAGGAGAAGGAGATCAACTGTAATCTGAGCTCTGAACAAAGGGGAGAAGAAAAACTGAGACAGTGACAGACAGCTGTGTGAGAGCTACAGGAGTGAGTCATACGCTGAAATGCAGGAAGCATTCTCTGCCAAATCTCGTAGGATCTGAAAAGTGGTCAAGATACTGGAAGAGAAGGTGGGGGCTTCCGTGCTGGGGAAGGGGGAGGAGCTCAGTCCGGGCAACTCCATCTTGTGGGGAAGACGATGAGTAGAGGAGCGCCGTCCAAGTTTGTTGTTTCAGCAATAAATCTGAAATAATTAACAGCCAGAGTCGTCTCACGTTTGTGGAAGACCAAGCCATAACAAGGACTGACATTGGAGATGGAGGGGATGCCATGACTGGGCCAAACAAAATTCATTCCAGAGAAGAGCTAGGCTTATTGAATCTCAGGTAGCAGTAGCAGTGATGAGGATGAGGATGATACAGTGGTACCTCGGTTTACAAACTTATTTTTTTCCAGAACAGGTACCACTGTAGTAGTAATAATAATTTTTTGTAATGGCTTGGCTCTCCCACAGAAGCGAGGACACTGGCAGTAATTATCTCGGGTTTATTGCTCAAACACATAAATCACTCCGGAGCTCCTTCACACTGTGTCTGACTTAAGATTGGTATTTTGTGGATCTTTGCTATCTGCTGCCTGCTCTCTGTTCTCTGAAGCTCTGCCACTCGGCTGCCCCTCCTCCCTCTCACATTCTGGCTCACATTCCAGTGCCCTTATCTCTCTTTGCCTGCTTTCATAAATTCCAGCCTCTGTCAGCTCCGGAACAAAGCTGACATTTTTATTTCTAACCCTGCCCATCTGACTGGATTGCCCCAGCCACTCTGGGCAGCTTCCAACACATACCGTATTTTTCGCCCTATAGGACGCACTTTTCCCCCTCCAAAAATGAAGGGGAAATGTGTGTGCGTCCTATGGGGCAAATGCAGGCTTTCCCAGGCTTCCTGCAGCTCTGAACCACCCTCCGGATCCCGGCGCAAAGCCGCGCGGGGCTCCGGAGGGTGGCGCGGAGCTGCCTGCGCTCCAGGGCTTCTTGCAGCTCCGCGCCACCCTCCGGATCCCGGCACGAAGCTGCGCGGGGCTCTGGAGGGTGGCACGGAGCTGCCTGCGCTCCAGGACTTCCTGCAGCTCCACGCCACCCCCCGGATCCCGGCGCGAAGCCACGCGGGGCTCCGGAGGGTAGCACTGAGCTGCCTGCATTCTGAAGCCTGGTGTGCGCTGAAGAGCGCCCCCGGGCTTCGCGCACCTCTC